GCATAAAACACAGCTATGCGGCGGTCGGGTACCCCCAAACCAATGGGCAGGTTGAGAACACCAACCGTACCATCATGGATGGCCTCAAGAAGAAGATAATGGAATGCAAAAGTGCCTGGGTGGAAGAAGTGCCCTATATATTGTGGACCTACAGAACTACTCCAAGGAAGGCAACCGGTGAAACCCCTTTTCTCGCTCACATATGGATTTGAAGCAAGGGCTCCAGCGGAGACCTCGTTGTTAAGTTATAGAGTTGAGACGTTTGATGCTCAAGGAAATGAGGAGAACCTGAGGGCAGAGCTGCACCTCATTGATGAGCGAAGGGAAAGGGCATATATGCGGGCAGAAAACTACCGCCGGCAGGTCAAGTCATATCACGACCAGCGGGTGCGACCAAGGCAGTTCAAGATGGGCGACTGGGTCCTTCGGAAAAGGGAGGTCAGCCGGCCGACCGATGGAGGAAAGTTTGCTAAAAGCTTCGAGGGGCCATATATCATAAAGGAGGTGTTGGCCGATGGGACATTTAGATTGCAGACTCCAACCGGTGGCGACGTTCCGCGAGTATAGAACACAAGATCTGTTGATCGCATGAACGACCAGGGGATCTTGGGGGTATGGCGACGCCACAAGGGTCAAAGTAACCCGAAAGTGGCTAAGTCAAAAGAGGCGAGGTATTCTCTGATTCAAGTCCAAGGGAACCGGAACGTCAAATGTAGGATGCGGAAGAGAAGAAGGTGAAACTTGTAAGTAAACAGGTAACATCAAAATACAGTAACAGAAATGTTCATTACATTTCAAGGATAATCTCTTGCATCTACCACAGTACAGTTGAGAACAATCTCTACGTTAGGAAGGATACTTCCCCATACATCTCCTACAATGAAAAACAACAATCTAAGACTTTGCGAGCGAAGGTCTAGGGGGGACAGGCAGGTCTGAAAGGTAGTTCTGCGGCTGTATAGGCAAGCAAAACTCCGATCACCGGCCATCCAGGACGACCACCTTTCTTCCCCAACATCGAACGGGAGTGGTCGCCCCCAGCCTCGGCAAAAACCCACCGCCCTTTTCCTACCAAGGAAGGACGGGGGACGGCTCACTTCTCTGTGAACCCCAACCAGCATCACCTAGGCGAGGACGGAGATCCTGAAGCCGCCCGAGCTACTTCAGGTCGCCTAGGGGTCTTCTGGGGAAGCGAACGGCAAGCGAGGCGAGGTAGGGGAGAACCCAGTTCTTTCCCTAACACAACCTCCTCCGAAGGCCTCACCGGCGAACTGGTGCGACTTTCGCTAGTCCATCGCTCAAAACTTGCGTAATATGCGCACTCATGCTCCAGGAGGGGTAAGTGCTCATCTTGAAAGCTATCCCAGGCCATACATTGCAGGGAATGGAGGGGGCATGGAGCATCCCAGTCAATCCGCCCGTCAGGCAGGCGGTTGGCAGAGAGGGCCTCGTACGCCTCATTAAAGTCTTCATAAGGGTTTGGAGGTGGTGGCGGCGGAAGAGGCAGGCTCCGGCGAAGAAGGAGCCGGCCCGTCGGAAAGATCTAGAGAAACAGGAATTCCTTCAGACATGGCAAGAATGGAGAAAAGGGGGATATTTGGTGATGGAGCAGAGTAGAGGCCAGGGGGACTTATAAATAAGCCAGGGCGAAGGAACCGAAGAGGCGGTCAAGTCTCGAGGCAGCCGAACCGATAAAGCAGGCTTGAGCCGCGCGAAGGTCCAATCAGAAACGGTGAAGGGCATTGGATCAATTGGGCGGCACGATGGCCAATCCAGGGATTGAGCCCGGGCAGGTAAACGGGCCGGGACTAGGAGTTGAGCCCAAACTAAAACATACATGTTAACCAGCTAAATCAAAAAAGAGAGTGCTGAAGTAAAGCGCCAAAGAGAGAAAACACATGGCGAATCTAGAAAATTAAACAACATAGGAGCATTGTATCAAAACGACAAATCATTCCGAAGGAAAAGAGAGAGGCAAGTGTTGGTAAAGCTGTGGGGGAACAATGGGGGATTTAGACGGCCGAGCTGGAGGGTCCACCCGCTTTGGACATGGCTAAGCTGGCCCCTGGATTCTGGTCGCTCTGACCACCTTCCACTTCTTCTTCTTCCTCCTCTTCCGACGCACTCGAGCTTCCCCCGTCCAGATAGGGACTGGGGTCGAACTCGGCCAAGGAGCGGCAGGGAGGAGGGAAGCCAAGGTCGGGGAGAGAGAATCCTTTAGGGAGCTGGGCCAGCCTGTTGTGGAAGACCTGTTGGGCATGGAAGAGTCCGCAATTGAAGGACTTGGTTCCCTCCTTGACCATCCATTGGGCCCCAGGTTCAGTTGTGAGCCAAGCGGCCGTTAATTCTTCCATCCGCTCCATTGCGACTACCGTGAAGTCAGGAGAGGACTTGAAGGATTCTACCGCTCCCTCTGCATGGCGGACCCGATCGCTCCTCTCCACCTCCAACTGCTGGATCAGATCAGATTTCTCCCCTTCCAGCTCGACCACTCGAGCAGAAACAGATTCTACCACCAAGGACAAGGAGGCCTTGTCTGCCTCAAGGGCGACGCAGCGGTTCTCCTGGGAAGCTTTCTCCACAATAAGCGCCGCGCAGCGATTTTCTTTCTCCTCCAACTCCCTGGTGAGACGCGCGACCTCCTCCTGCAGCTCCTTCTGCTTGGCCTCGGCTGCTTTCATCACCTCGTCCGCAGCGGCCTGGCGACCCCGTTTCCAGCCGACCACCTCAATCATCCCCAGCATAGCCTGCGCAAAGGGGTGAGGGTTAGGGGCCTAAAGAAAAGGAGTGATGCATAGGAGATCAAGACCAGTACCTGACTGAGCCTCAAAAGGACCATGTTGTCAAGGTCGTCCTCGGAGCCTGCCGAGATACGAGCCTGGTCTTCTGCAGGCAGAGTGATAAGAGTCTCCAGCTGTACGTCCCCTAGGCTTTGGGGCAGGAGAGGGATGCAGAGCCTCGTCGAGCGACCCCCGGTCGCCACCTCGTAGGTCACTACGGGTGGTGATGGAGGTCGCTCCAAGGCAATGCCCTGAGACGACCCAGCGAGGTCGCCACCCTGCATCACGGGGTGTGGAGGGGACTGGCCAGCCATGGTACCCGGTTCCTGGGTAGCATCTTTTTGGCCCTCCACCGCAATTACGACCGGCTCTCGAGAAGGACCCTCCTCGTGGTGGGATGAAGAATGTTTGCCCTGGCCCTTCGTCTCTCTCTTCCTTTTCCTCTCTGCGGTGAAGCGACTGAGCAGGAGATCGCTGTCCATCTCTTCTCCTAAATCTTGTAATTTCACTGGAAACAAAGGAAATGGTCAGCCTTGGGAAAAGATAAAACTAAACATCTGGGCAAAAGAAAGGGTCACCTACCAAAAGGACCACAATCAAGACCTTCCTCAGGAATGTCCTTCAGCTGGTCAGGCTGATGCCCCCCGGGGATGTCCCTCAGTAGGTCGGGTTGGTGGCGAAGCTCATCCTGAACAAACTCAAACCCCAACCCGGCGAGTGATAGACAAAAGGGTGGCATCAGGTGGGGGGCGTGGGATGCGACGGAAGGAAGGGCGCCCTGAACCTGTGAAAGGAGATTCGGGCCCCGTCGAAACGAAGACAAAGAAAGGCTTCCAATCTTTGGTTGACCCCTTCTTATCACTAGCAAAGAGTTTACTGGACCTCTGGGAAAGACTGGCATAGGACGCCCAATCCTTATGGCCCTTGGTCAGTTTGAAGGTGAATATGAAATGGTCCAAGGTCGGATTCACCCCTACATCTTTGCACCGGACCAGGTAACCGGCGATGTACCGGTGAGAGTTGGGGACCAGTTGGCACGGGAGAAGGTCCACCACGTTGAGGAATTCGATCAACAACGGGTGGAG